CCCCCCCCCTCCCCGGGTAACGAGCGTTACCGGCCGGAATAAAAAAATGATCTCTACCTCCCCTCAGCTGTCGCCGCGGATTGAGTTACTCTCGCCCTTGCGGGCTACAATTTTTTGGCCAAGTGTCTTAGCATTGCTGCCTCTGCACCCGTCCGAAGCCTAATTTGCTTGCTGCTTCGTCTCGGTCAGCAATTCTATTATTTGTTCACCCTCATTGACGCTTCAGGCATCCTCCCTAAGTCCGCGCAGCGTCAATAAGGACGAGGAGGAGGAGGACGAGGAGGACTGGGGGGAGTCGGAGACGGAAGGGCGGGAGGCGTCTGTTTCGAAGTGCGCGTCTACAGCCGAATCGTTTGACATATTGGCTATACGTCTAGATGCTGTGACAATGACTCAATCTCACCACGTGGGCGAGGGCCCCGATCCTTGCATACTTTCTTCGGGAGGAGGCTTCGTTTGAGTCTCGGCAGCCCCTCTCTCTCGCTGGTTGTTGGTGAAGTGAGCTACCCCTGCGACTTCGGCGTCGCATCTGGGACCCACGCATATACATCACCACCGTGGGTTAGTTTTCTGTCATGGGGGTTGATTGTACTATTCGCGAACGAATGCGGCAGCAATCTGCGCGCTTGACCATGTGGCAAGTTCTTGCGCTTGGCGGGGGCAGGCAGTGGCACCCCTGCTAGGGCGGTCGCGCGCAGGATGTGTTCCTTTCCTATGGCCGAATGGTGGTGGTTTGTACACTGGGCCCCCGCATCGCCAGGCTCGAAAACAGCCTCGGGAGCCTCTGCGGCTGTTTCATGGGCATCGTGCGATTGCCTGCCCGCCAAAGAAAATAACGCTGCGTTCGGAGAGGAAGTTCGGCCATGCCGAGGTGTTCCAAGAAAAAGGCTTTCGTCGACAATGTCATCGGTTATTTGGGAGCTCTTGCCGTCAGCCCGGGGGGCCCGGCCCAGGTCCCATGTGCAAGCGCGAACCTTCTCCGCACCCCGGGGGTCGACTGTCGCCAGCGTCGGTCGTCGGTCATCGTCGCAGGCTTTCCTTGCTGTAAGCAACAAGGAACCCGTCTCGAGCAGCATCAGTTCGGAATGAGAAAACTGCTGGAATGGACCCCCAAAGGGCCGTCGGGCCCGGGTTTTGAGCGGACCTTCGTCGTCGTCATCGTCGTGTCTTCGTCGTCGGGTCTCTCGTGTTGGGCTCTTGCGTGCCAGCCAGGCGGCGCAGCATACTTCATTCCCCGCCCGCCCTACTTGAACCCGCTCGTGAGGGCCCGGCCCGCTCGACCAGGCCCGGCCGTTGGGTCTCTCGCGTGCCAACCAGACGATGCAGCATATTCCGTACCCGACCCTCCCGTGAGGGCCCGGCCCGCTCGACCAGGCCTGGCCGTTAGGGCTCTCGCGTGCGAGTCGGACGATGCAGCATTTTTGGCTCCATACTTGCATGTCCCGCACGGCCCGACCTGCCCGTGAGGTTGGCTCCACTTCGCCCGGGCCTCGACCCGCCACAGGAGGCCTCGACTCGTCCTGAAGAGGGGCCCCGGGGCGCCGACTCGTCCTGCAGGGGGGCCCCGGGGCCCCGACTCGTCTGGAGGCCCGGGGTGGCCCCGCGGGGGCCCCTGTGGGGCCCTGAGGGTCTTGGGGCTGTGCCGGCGGGGCCCCCAATTGTCACCACGAGCGGGCTCGGCTCTGAAACGTGGTGCGGCTCGGCACCGGCCGGGCGGGGTCCGCGGGGCTGGAGTCGTCGCCGTCGTGGTCGTCGTCGTCGTCGCCCCCCGGTACCTTTAGGGCCTATACCCGCAGGCTTCTCTAGGGCGTAGCCGTAAGGCGTACCTTTAGGCCTACCCTTGGTGCACCCCTGGGACCCTCGGGTAGGGGTTCCTTGGAGTACCCTAAGGCCTAGGGTAGGCCCTAATCCTACGCGACCCTAGGCATAGGGTGGCCTAGGCGCTCCGGGTTCTATATCCCTACTCCTTTTTTCATCTTTTTCCATTATAAATGATTATTATTTGTCGCGCCCCGAGACGTGTCGGTAGGGCGGGCCCGGGCGTTTCGCATGAGACTTCTTTACCGTTTATGATCCTGAATGGCGGTCCGTATTCAAAATGTAGTTCTCGCCTTAGCGCTGCACATATTCATTGAAAAAGTTTGCAAGAGTTTCACGGATGGAGGGCGGTTCTTTTTCAAAATGCGGTTCTCATTTCAGCGCCGCGCACATTCGCCCTCAGAGTTTACAACAGTTTCAAGGATTTTTGTTGTTGACGTCCCAGAAATGGTGTTTGGGAGTGATGTAGGTAGGACCGTCAGGGCGCAACTGTCACGTTGATTCGCGGTGGTGAAATCCCAGGAACTGGGTTCTAGCGCGATTCTGGATCGTCAGGACGCAACTGTAATGTTGGTTTGCGGCACTGGAGTCCCAGGAATAATGCTTCGGGGCACGCTTCAGAGTTTTCAGACGATTGTCTCCCAACGGGGCACTTCCCGAAGTGAAACAAGTTCCTTGCAGGGGCTTCGGAGGAGGGAGCTTGGAGGGACGGTTTATTGCAACATCGTTGGTGAGTCTTGAGCTCACACTGGTCCTCCTCCTCCTCCTCCTCCTCCTCCTCCTCCTCCTCCTCATCCTTCTCCTCCTCCTCCTCCTCCTCCCTCCTTCTGCTTTTCCCTCTTTCTCCTCCTCCTCCTCCTCCTCCTCCTCCTCCTCCCTTCAAAGGATCTCGCATAACCAGGTCCCCCGATGCCTCCAGAGACCTTGGATAAACCACCGGACTCCTCGCCTTCCCGCCCTTCTCGAGATCCTGGAGTCTCTGATGGGGAGGCGACGTTTTTCCACCGCGCTCCACGCAGGGGAAGGGGAGGAGGAGGGAGGAAGGGTATGCGGGAGGATGAGGAGGAGGAGGAGGACGAAGAGGAAGAGGAGGAAGAGGAGGAGGAAGAGGAGGAGGAGGAGGAGGAGGAGGAGTGAGGAGGAGGAGGAGGAGGAAGAGGAGGAGGAGGAGGAGTAGGAGGAGGAGGGAGAATGGCGAGGAGGAGGAGGAATAGGAGGAGGAGGAGGGATGAGCTTGAGAAGCCGGCGGAGGGGGAGGGGAAGGAGGCGGAAGGCGGAAAAAGTGAGGAGCAGGAAGAGGATGGAGGAAGAAGATGGCGACCTTTCGCCGACAGACGCGTGTGGGCCCTTGGAAGCACGGGCCGCACACTATTTGTGGTGCGGAGATGCTTGCCGTTCCGATGTGTCTTCGGCTCGCGGGCCCCGGACGAGTACTCGGTTCGCAGAAGAAAGAACGCCATAAACATGACCTTGTTGCGCTCCGCGCGGATTTCTCGGATCCGCGACTGGGGCCCCCTTTGCGGCGCCTCCAGCGCCGCCCCTGGCGCGCCCCGCCCGCCAGGGAGGGGGGTCCGGCGTAGATCCAAGAAATCCGCGCGGAGCGCCAAATGTTTATGTGTATGGCGTTTTTGTTTATTTATTTTAGTTGATGGTTATGATTGTGAGTCCGATCGAAGCCGATTATAGGCACTGTTTCTACTCCCTGTGGTGAGTCCTGGCACGAGAGTTGTCTTCGGCGCAAGGATCGGAAGCCCGACAACTTCCAGGTTTCCAAAATCCCAGCACACGAGAGCCGGCCTGTTGCTGCGAATGTTGGGGTGCAGTTTTGGGTCTGCAAAAGACATCGGCTTGCCGACCGCACTGCTAAAGATGCTGGTGCGGAAATCCAACACCCTGAGTTTCTGTTTCAGCAATATCAGAAGCAACGAGAGAATATTCAATCGCTTGCTAAGTTTTCGGGTTTAGTGCTCGCGCGCGTGTGCAAGCCGTCCGGTGCTGCTCTCAAAGTGATCGCCCGCAAGGGCAAGCCGTCTGGTCTGGTCCTGGTCCCTCTGAGCCCAATGGTCGCATCGCTTTCCGATGGGGCAATGTGCGTTTGCGTGGGCGCTGCATGGACAGAGGTCGGGTCTTCCCTTCCCTGGCCAGCTACACATGTCAGGGGTGGCCCAGCGTAGCACGCCTCGCACATCAGTCCCACACACTGGGGGCAGGCGATCATCCACTCCCCGATCACCATCGTGTAGTGTTCGACATGCGGCGCGTTGGCAGGCAACGCGTGCATTTGTTACTGGGCCCTTGTGATGAGAAGCCTCGTAGCGATCATGCTGCGCGGTCCCTCTCCCTTCTTAAAGAACACCGCGATCCGAGTGCCAGACGACAATTTCTTCGGGCGTGGCACGCTGCTGACATGTCGGCAGGCCGTGTGATTTGATCGTTGTCTCCCCCCTTCGCTTTCCCCCTTTTCGCTGTAGGCTCTGCTTGCCCGGATCCTGCTGCACAAACTGGAAATTGGAAACAGGAGGAGGAGGAGGAGGAGGAGGAGGGGAAGGAGGAGGAAGAGGAAAAAGAGGGGCACGAGGAGGACAATGGAAAAGGAGGAGGAGGAGGAGGGATATATCTTGAACAGCGGAAAATGAGGAGGAGGAGAAGGAGGAGGGAAATATCCTGAACATGTCGGTCGTAAGCCCCACAGGGCGGGTCGCCCACGGGGTGGTGGACTCCGCAGGAGGAACAAAAATCCAGCGGGGAACTGCAGGCGGGGCGCAGTGGCGTCAGGCCGCGCACCTGGGGCACGGACCCGCACTCGCGAGCTGTGCTTGTGCCTCGAGATGGGGGGGGAAGGGGGGCGGGAGGGGTGCGGGGTAGAGCTGAAGGAGGAGAAGCAGAATGGAGGAGGGGCAGGATGCAGGAGGAGCTGGATGCAGAAGGAGGAGGAGCAGGATGCAGGAGGAAGAGGAGGAGGAGGAGGAGGAGGAGGAGGAGGAGCAGGATGCAGGAGGAAGAGGAGGAGGAGGAGGAGGAGGAGCGGGGGACACGAATAACGGCGACGACGACGACGACGACGACGACGACGACGACGACGACGACGACGACGACGACGACGACGACTGCGGCGGCGACGACGGCGGCGAGCCTCCGGTGGGAGGAGCCTGGCCGCCAGGCCGCCGGCCGCGCGCGCGCAGGACCACGTGTTCGGCGCCAAGTCGGGGGAGGACACCACCAGCGTGGAGGTCTGCATCAAGGGCTGCTACAGCCTGCAGGAGATCTGCGCAGGGCCGTGGGGCAGAAGGGTCCGCAGCGAGCTCGGGGGAAGAAGCGCGCTGGTCACGGCCAAGACGTCGCGGAATCTTGTCGACGCCGATCGTGGTACCCCTGGCGGTGCCTCTGGCGCCCCCGTGTGGCGCGCTCCGCGCTTTGATGGTTTTGCTACGGAATGCGTGACGTTCCCACACCAAGCATCGATGGACGTCCTGGTGTCTCAGGGTTGGGTTTGTTGTGGAAGGTTTCTTGTGGTCGAGGTCCTACTGCATTCGTTGGCGATAACGGGCGTTACCAGGGGGGAGAAGGGGGCCAGGCAACGTCACGTTTCGCGCGGGTGCCGTCTGGGCACGCCGGGGAATATAACCAGAGACGGTTCGGATAGCGGATGCCCAATAGTGATTTGCTGCGGCAGAGCGTGCATACATGTGTAGGAATTTGCTGGGGCAGAGTGCCTCCCTTCTCCTCTTCTCCTCCTCCTTGCTTCTCCCTCATGCCTTCTCGTTCTCCTTGCCCCCGTCGTCGTCGTCGTCGTGCCCCTGCCTCGTTGGGGAAATCGAAGCCAACAGAACGCGTCATTTGCCTTGTGATGTTTCTTGCCATGAAGCTTTGTACGCATGACGTGGCCAGCCTGTACAAGAGCTGGATACACATGTGGCCGCATGTCTCTCCAGTGTTCGGCCCCCGTGTGGCAGGTACGCCAGCCGTCCGCACGTGTCTCCAGCAGCTGGCTTGCGCATGTTCCGCGTGTGATTCCAGCCGCGTGTGTTTCCAGCATCCTGCATTGCTCAAGACACGCATCGTGTGATTCTCGATCGTATTCCGATGTTCCCGGACAGAAAGAGTTCAGTGCGCTTTTGGTAGGGTTGGATTGGACGTGTCCCATGTGTATCTCATGGGCTTACGCCATGAGGAAGAGTAAGAGCAGGAGGGGGAGGAGGACCAGGCGATTTCGATCCCCTTCTTCATCCTTCTGTCCTTGTGCGAAGCACCTCGTGACGCAGTATGGAGGGCGAGGACGACGAGAGGAGGAGCAGGAGGGGGAGGAGGAGGAGGAGGCGGAAGCGGCGTCTGCGGCCAGAGCCCTTCTGTCCGCTCTGGTTTTGTCGAGGAGGAGGAGGTGGAGGGCGGAAGGAAGAGGACAGAGCACCACATATTCTATCCCCAGCACCCCCCTGCATTGCGCTTATGTGCCCGTCGCGATTCATCGCAGTTCCGTGCGCATCCATCGCATGGTGCACGCTCAGCCATAGCAGATTCCACTCGGTATCTGTTATCTGGGCTTCCTGGGCTAGTCTTGGGCAGTTCCACACGGCGCCGGCACGAATCGTGACGTCACCAGGGGGGTGGGCGGTTAACGCTCTCTTCTTGTTGATGATGGTTATGATCATGACCGCGGTGAGGGGGAACAGGAGCAGCAGCAGGAGGAGGGGTGAAGTATGGAGGAGGGTGAGGGGGAGGAGGAGGACGAGGAGGACGAAAATGAGGTGGACGAGGAGGAGGAGGAGGAGGAGGAGGAAGCATCCACGATGCTTCAAGAAACACCCCCTCCAAGTTCCCTTTTCACAGGTCCCTGCAAGATTTTATGTTCACTGTTGGAAGTGCCCTTTAAGAAGACCACCGTCGCATAATCCTCAATCATGCCGTGTGGGAAGGTACCATTCTCTGAACTTCAACGCCACAAACCAACTATCATGCCGAATCATGGCGAAACACCGTCTCTAGGATATCCACACCGCGAATCAACGTGACCGTTGCACTCTGACGATCGTAAGCCGTGCGGGAACATTGCTCCTGGGACGTCAGCCATGTGAATCCGCTAAATCGCTGTAGACTTAAACACGAACATGCGCGGCGCGAAGGCGACAACCACATAAAAAAAACAGCCGTCCTCCACCCGCGACGCTTTTTCAAACGTTTCAGACGAATGCGCTCGGCGCTAAGGGGTGAGCCACGTCAAAAAGCAACCGCCCTCCATCCGTTAAGTTCCCGCAAACTTTTACAACGAGTGTGCGCGGCGTTCAGGCGAGAGCCGCATTTTGAAAACCACCCGCCCTTCATTTGTTTAGCTGCCGCAAATGTTTCAGGCGAATGCGCGCGGCGCCGAGGTGAAAGCCACGTTTTCAAGCCACCCGCCCTCCATCCGTGAAACATTGCTGCAAACATAAAGTTTCAGGATCGTAAGTGGTGAGGAGGTCGAAACGCCCTGCCCGCCCTACCGACCCGCCTCGTGTCGCGACAGCTAACAGTCATTCACAAGGACAAGGGATGGAGGAAGAGAAGGAGGAGGTGGAGGTGGAGGTGGAGGAGGAGGAGGAGGAGGAGGAGGAGGAGGAGGGCCCCCCCCACCGCCCTGCTGCCCCTGCGGCCGCTGGTGTTGGCGGGCACCGCCCCGCGCAGGAGCAGCTCCCCGACCAGGATTTGGGCCGCTGCACCAAGCTCGGGAGGCGCGGGTGGGGGGGGCCTCCGTCGTTCTCCGCCTCCTCATTCCCGCCTCCTCCCTCTTCTCTCTCCCTACTCAAAGTCAAGCTCACACTCAAGCTCATGCTCACACTCAAGCTCAGTCACCCTCAGATTCGCTCAGGCTCAGACCGCTCACGCAGATCCCCTCGCGCTCCGAACTGTCCGTAAGCACTTCGGTATGCTCGCACAGACCACAGACAATCCGATCGTCCAGACTCGGGCCCACCCTTTTGCAGGGAATGTGGCGCCTTTTTGTAGTGCTCGTGCGTGTGGTCTGCCCACAGGATGTCAGAAGGACCCGAGAGGACACAGCGCGAAGGCTCGCAAAAACCGTTTCTTGGCGGGCAAGCACCCTTTGAAGAATGAAAGGTTGCTTCGAGAGGCGGTCGCACTGACGAGGGCCGAGGACTTGTTTTTCCTCGAGTCGATTGGCATTGCCGCCATTGCCTCTGTCCCCTCCACCGCTGGAAATGGTGCGAAGGGATCCTTGTGGAGGAGACCGCAGGTGGCCGCGAGGTCCTCGCCCATCCTGTGAGCGCGGGAGAGACTCAGACCCACCCATGCTCAGACTCGCTCCTACTTTCATGAACTCGTGCATACTCCAACTCACACACTCAGACCACGATCGTTGATGCATCCTGGGTTTACTCTGGTCCTCCCTCCTGCTCCTTTTCCTCCTCCTCCTCCTCCTTTTCCCCTTTCCTCCTCCTTCTCCTCCTCCTCCTCCTTTTCCCCTCTGTTCCTCCTCCTCCTCCTCCTCCTCCTCCTCCCTCCTCCTCCTCCTCCTCCTCCTCCTCCTCCTCCTCCTCCTCCTCCTCCCTCCTCCTCCTCCCCTCCTCCTCCTCCCCCTCCTCCTCCTCCTCCTCCTCCTCCTCCTCCTCCTCCTCCTCCTCCTCCTCCTCCTCCTCCTCCTCCCTCCCTCCTCTCCTCCTCCTCCTCCTCCTCTTCCTCCTCCTCGTTCCTCCTCCCCCCCTCCTTCCTCCTCCCCCTCATGCTCTTCCTCCTCCTCCCCTTCTTCTTCTCCTCCTCCTCCTCCTCCTCCTCCTCCTCCTCCTCCTCCTCCTCCAGCTAGCCGCCCCATCACCACCAGCTATTGTCACACCTGGGCCCACCTGTGGAGAGTCGCTTGGGACCTGATCGACGACCTCGGCGGCGTCGGAGAACAGGGCGTCCGCGTGCGGTGGATACGCGCGCACCAGACCCGACGGCAGGTACGGGACGGGACCATCGCCTACAGGGACTGGCTGGGCAACAAGTACGCGGACGCTGCGGCCAGATCGGCGGCCGACCACGGGCGCATCCCTCCCTGTGATCGCGCCAAGTTGAAGGCGGAGCGCGGCCTGGTCAGTGCAGCGTCGTAGGCAGCAGGGTCAACGGGAGCGACACGAGCCACAGGAAGGCGAAGCCGCAACGCGCGGTCGAGCGGCCGAGCCAGGCTGCAGGCGAGGAGGCGGTGACGAGCACGTGCGAGCTGCGGGGCCCGCCCGGTCAACGGTGGTGCGCGCAGTGCAGATGGCTGCGACGAGTCGGAGAGTGCCCAGGCAGCATCGTCCTGGCAGCGTTGGCGGCCAACCGGCGCCTTTGCCAGCGCGGGCTGAGCCACCACGGCCTGGTCATGATCTAGCCACAGGTAGACGGCCAGCTGACGCGCATGATGCCCTTGGTGGCGTGCCTCAAGTGCGGCTTCACGGGCACGGCGAGGGCCTCCAGCTTCGCGAAGAAGTGCGGGGCGCCGTCGCCTGCGGGCCAGGCGGTCCTGGGCAGGCTCGCCGACCAGATGGCGCCCAAGCTGAGTAGCCGCGTCCCGATTTTCTTGCAGAACCTGCCCGACGCGGTGGACGGCGAGTTGCAAGAGCTCCAGCCGCCGGAGCGGCCGCCGCCGGGCTCGCCAGGGCCGCCGAGGAGCGCTGGGCCGTCCACCGCCACGGACGCGTGCGAGGCCAGCTGGAGTGACGCGGAGGGCAGTAGCGGCGGCGGCGGGCCGCGGCGCCCCCGGGGGCCGTCGCCGCGGTCAGCCCGACCTGCGTGCGACGGCGCGGAGCCTGAGGAGGCCGCCGTGCAGCGCAAGGTCGATTGGCTGCTCGCCGCCTATCGCCGAGGCTGTGCAGCGGCGGGCGCTGGGGTAGGAGATGTGAGCGAGCCCGTCCGAGGTGGCCCTCGAGGGGCCAGGCACCTCGGACGGTCGGCTGGATCCGCCTCGTCTCCTGGCCACGGCGGGCCCCAGGGGCCTGCCGCCGACCCGTGTCCTGGGGTGCCGCCTGGCCCGAGGGCCTGAGGGTGGACTGTGGCCGCGGTTGGCGCTTGCGGGCAGGCGCCAAACGCGGTTGCAGTCCTGCGGCGTCGGGGTGTCCTCGTCGCCAGGGTTGCCGTGCGTGTGCACGGCGAGCGGATGTGGCCTGCCTGACTGGCCGCCTCCAAGTCGTGCGCGTCCTCCTCCTCCTCCTCCTCCTCCTCCTCCTCCTCCTCCTCCTCCTCCTCCTCTACTCCTCTCCTCGTTCGTCGTTCCTTCCTCGTTCGTCGTTCCTTCTCCTTCCTCCTCCTCCTCCTACTCCTACTCCTCCTCCTCTTCCTCCTCCTCCTCATCCTCCTCTTATTCCTCCTCCTCTTATTCCTCCTCCTGTTATTCCTCCTCCTTTTATTCCTCCTCCTCCTCCTCCTCCTCCTCCTCGGCCTCCTGGAGGCCCTGGGGGTCCACTTTTTTTGTCCTCTCACGCCTGTACTGCCGAATGCTTGAGGCCAACTTTGAGGGGTGGGGGACGTGTTGTCAAGGGTTCCACTTGTTTGTCCATCTACGGTCCTCCTCCTCTTCTTCCTCCTCCTCCTCTTCCTCCTCCTCATCCTGTTCCTCCTCCTCCTCCTCCTCCTCCTCCTCCTCCTCCTCCTTTTATTCCTCCTCCTCCTCCTCCTCCTCCCCCTTCCCGTCTCCCCTTGACCCTCCCCCTCGTTCCCCGCCTCGTCTTCCTCTACCTGCCTCCCCCTCCCCCTCGCACCCCTCGCTGCCCAGACGTGCGATGTTTCGCTTTTTCCAATGCGCGATCCCCAGGAATCCCGACCCTTTCCCCAGGACCGTCCCGAGCTGTCCTCTGACAGTCCCGAGGCTCGGCGAGGGCCCCCAGAGGCCATCATGGCCGAGCATAGTCCGTCGTCTTTTGTGCATGACGCGACGACGTCTGGGGGTGCTGCCTCCCCCTCCCCCTCCGGCCCAGCACCCCGGCGCGCCAGGCGGAACGTCACCACGGAGACGCGCGCGTTCGGGGTGCCCTCGGTCCGCGCAGACATCCCAGGGCCGAGCTCGAAGGGGAGGCCGCCCCGCCCGACTGGGGAGCTGCAGGGCGGGGGGGGACGGAGGAGCATCGGAGACGCCTGCGGCGAATGGCCGCCGCCCCATGCCCTTTCGGAAGCGCCTGTGTGGCCGGCCAGAGAAGCACGCGAGGAAGAGGAGAATGAGGAGGAGAAGGAAGAGGAGGAGGAGGAGGAGGAGGAGGAGGAGGAGGCGGAGGAGGAGGAGGGGGAGTTGGAGGAGGAGGAGGAGGGGGAGGAAGAGGAGGAGGAGAAGGAGGAGGAGGAGGAGGAGGAGGAGGAGGAGGAGGAAAAGCAGGAGGAGGGGTAGACCTCTCGGGAGCCTCTTGGGGGTCTCGCTCGGCCTCTTGGGGGCCTTCGGGGTCTTGTTCAGGGCCTCTTTGGCCGTCTTAGGGCGTTCCTGGACCGTCTGACGCCGTCGGGAGCTGTCTTGAGGGCCTCTCTGGACCGTCCTGGGGCCCTCTTGGGGTGCTTCAGGGCCGTCATGGATACCTCTTGGGCCTTCTTGGGCCCCCCTGTGGGCTGTCTTGGGGGCTTCTTGGGCCGTCCTGGGGCCATATTGAAGGCATCTCTGGCGCTCTGGGGACGATCTTGGGGGCCTCTCGGGCCGTCTTTGGTCGTCGGAAAGCCGAGAAGAATCAAATGCCAACATCCTTACAAACCAAAGGAAAATCAATGCTTTTGGTCTCCTCGGGCCCTCCTGGAGGATATCTTGGAGGCATCTTGGGCCGTCTTGGAGGCCTCTTGGTCGCCTTTTGGACCGTCTTGGGCCGTCTTGGAGGCTTCTTGGGCCGACTTGGAGGCATCTTGGGCCCTCTCGGGCCGTCTTTGAGGCCATCCTTGACCATTTTGAGCGAACTTGGAGGCCGTGTTGACCGTCTTCGAGGCCTCTTGGGCCATCTTGGCCGTCTTGGAGGTGATTTGGGCAACTACCTGGGCATTTTCGGCCGCCTTCCGGGTGGCCAGCGGGATCGGCCGAATCCCCAGGGAGGTTGGTATGGAAGCACAAACCAAGCGGTCCGCGACTTCGCTCTTACATGTGGCGCTTCGTCATGGTCTTGCCTCTTTCCCTCCCCTCAGCAGCTGCCGTGCTGTGCAGTATGGCTGTCGCAGTTCTGAGAGTGCACAGGAGCACTCCGATCTCTGACCAACAAAACCTGCGGCCTATCCCAACACCGTGGCTGGGTTTCTCGGGGACGCTTTTTAGGGTTAACTCGGGCATGCCCCTCTACAGGAGGAATAGTTTCAAATAGCTTAAAATAGTATGGGGACGTTGTTTCGACTATGTTTGATCATATTGGTGCATTCTTTGCATATTTCTGTCGTCCAGAATCCGCCTGTAGGGGGACATGCCCGACCTAGCATTAGGGGTATGGGGCTCTTCGCAGCGCTCTCGGGAGCCTCTGGGGAGCCCGGCCCCTGAAAAAACGCCCGAGACTGAGGTTTCAGGGATGAGGCAGAGGACCTGAGGACGCCCACTTCCGTGCCCAGCGGCGCGGTGGCGGATGAAGGGAAGGGAGGAGGTGTGAGTCATCGAAGAGAAGAGAAACACCATAAAGATAAATTTTCGGCACTCTGCGCGGATTTCTTGGATCCGCGCTGGGACCCCAGCGGCGGCGCCGCCCCTGGCGCGCTCCGCGCGCCTGGGAGGGGGGTACAGCGCAGATCCAAGAAATCCGCGCGGACCGTCGAAAGTTTATGTTTGTGTAGTTGTTTCTTCTTCGACGTTAGGCAGCAGCTCCCGGGAGCCTCGCATGTCCTCGCAATGCCGTCTCTAGAGTGCATCAGCGTGCGCTGGCGTCCGGTGATCGATGCGAAAGCGACGATTTGACTTCGATTTAACGTCGATGGGCGTCGATTGCGTAGCCTCGATTAGCGTCGGATAGCGTCTATTCACAAGAGCCAACAAGATGGTATGGGAGGCCTCCAATGAGTTGCCACAGAAGGAAGGAGGGGTGAGGAAGGAACAACAAGAGGAGGGATGAGGGATGATGAATGACGAGGGGGATGGAGGAGGGGGCAGGGAGGAGGGGGCAGGGAGGAGGCAATACGGGGCGGAAGGGTTGAGGGCGGGGGAGGGGGCGAGGGAAAAGAGGAGGATGAGGCAGAAGAGAAGGAGCGGAGGAGGAAGGAGGAGGGAGGTTGAGGGAGGAGGAAGGAGGCAGGATCAGAACGGAGGGACGAGAAGAAGGCGGAGGAGGAGGAGGA